TGGCCGGTCTAGAAAACAACTAACTTAAGACGACCAAGGACAACTTTTACTTGTATAAAATGTACTTGGATGGTATTTTTATCATTTTTGACAACAAATATGATTTGAATTATCTTCTAAAAACACTTAATAACTACCATCCAGCAATAAGTTTCCCACTTGGAGTTGAAAACAAACAAAGTATTCACTTTCTTGATGTCGAAATGACAAGAAAACACGAAGAAACTCTGAGAAGATCAATCTACAGGAAATTCTTGTAGAGTGGCCAGCTATCTAGGTTCCATTAGTCAACAGCGAAACTCATTCATATCACTCGCTAGACGAGTTCGAAGAATTTATGGTCCCGACGTCATGGATAACGAACTGAGCCTCTTGAAGAAAATACTTATCGAAAACGAATATCCTTCGGCACTTATTGAAAAGAACATAAAACCCGGACCGCCTAAAGTACAAATAACCTCTGTTGAAAGGAAAACACTCTACGTGATCATCAATTTCCGGGGTGATAGAGTAACAGACGTCCTAGAGACGAGAATGTCTGATTCTCTAAAAAGAACATTCTTCGCTGCAACTTTGTGAATAGTGTTCTCAAGCCGATCCATGTTCAATTATAACCTTAAGGATAAATTATCTAATTTGACCAATTCTAGGTGCACATATCAATTTACTCATTCATGTGGAGCCAGGTATATATATCGTCGGAGCCGTACTTTATCCAAATGAATGCAAAAACATTACTCGACTTGGCTTAAGAGGCTGAAACGGCTCAATAATCGAACTTGTTGTTGTATCCCGATGAGAATAATGAATGGTAAATGTTGGAATCTATTTCTCGAATAATACTATACGTATTTTTTATAGTACAATTGTTAAATAACTAAACTATTCATATTCGTATTCCCCTTATTATAAGCTTCATTTCGACCTATGAACTATAATTACACGACTTACCATTCATGAATTATGCCCAGTCCATCAATTACTTTCTCCTACATTCACAAGCACTTTCGGCTTAAACTTGTACAAAGGTTATTTTCTATTTTATATGGTCTGTTTCGGTTGCATATAAGACCAGTATGTCTGAAATGCATGATTCATTACGGAGAGGCTGAGGTTGGTGTTCTGAGCTTAACAGGGATGGCTAGAAGGGAGGCAGGACCGGTAAAGACTAGACTGCTCGCACGGGTTTTTTGATTTATTGGTCAGGTCGATAAATCAATGTTCTCTACAAGTTATAACACTTGTGAACACAAGTCACTCAATCAAAGCGGACTCAACGTTCAGAGTCATCCACAAGTTAAGTAGATGGCTACCAAAGGCAGTTATACTCCATCTTCTTAACACTGATGAGGAACTCTCTATACATCTGGAAACACCAGGATTGTTTCCAAAAGAAACCGGTACAACTTCTCTTTCTACCATGGTCTTTGTCTCATAATTTTCTTCCTTCACAGCCAACTGCTTCCCCTTCCATCTTCTCTATAAACCTTTTACTCCTAAATGGTTTATTTCTATTTCTATGATCCTCCTGATTACATCTCATCACAATTTCAACATTTCATCTCATCAAATAACGTTTTAATACCCTTATTATACCTCAGTGTTACCATGTTTAACGGAATTTTATTATCGCCATTACTGTAATTATTATCTTGAGAAATAAGTATGGGTTTTTTAAATGTTAAAGAAAGCAACCCCTATGAATTGTAATATTAAATACAATTGTGCATTTAAAAGTAGATTTAAAGGGAATAAAATAATCAAAATTTCTGAACATGTTATTCATTTTGAAAAGAAGAGAGGAATTTGTTTCTCCGCTTTTGATACTAATAAACATCACTGGAACCTATTCGTTAACAATAACAGAGAGAAATGTTTACAAACTTGTGGTATTTGAACTGGTGCCTCCTTTGTACTTGATTGCGCGATTATTACGAATTCCAAATAAAATACGTTTAGTTCTACCCACCTTAAATTGCACTATTTCAGATATTCTTAGTTAGCCCATTAATTCGAATATTTCTAATTATCATAACACTACTAATACACCAATATTTAGGCACGAATACGAAAAATGATTCTTCATTTTGAACTACCTATATTTGACTGATATCTAAAGTAGCATAATCCTTTAGTTCATTTTTTACTAATCAAGATTAGTCGAACTGTTCAGAGTAGTTGATGAGATGTCAAGTCCAAATGTATATTTATGAACTGATCTCTTGTTATCATGTTTTACATTCAAAGAGCTTCAAAAACGGATTTTTATAATGGCTCTATTGAAAACTACAGTAAGGATCGAAGACCTAATACAAAGATGCTATGGACTGTTAAAAACAGATGACATTGTAGTCTTTAGAAGATTTCAATCTTCTTATTGAAACCCGTAAATTGTTAACAATGGTAATCAAATACTAATCATGTCATTTAGCAAATTATCTTGTTACTTGATGACAGCTTTCCCTTAAATTATAAATTGCGATCTTGATTATCTAAATTCTAAAGAAATCCTGTTACTGTAGATAGTATACTATAGACCTGCTAGCTATATTTGTGAGAAATATGCACATTTCGTGTTTAATTTCGAAACTCTTCAAATATAAGTTACTTTACTTTATATTACTCAAATAATTCACCATCTATGACTGACAGATAAATCAATAGCTGAATAAAATTACGACTTTGTGTTCCATTACATCAAAAAAATTGTTGTAGGTTCACAGAAACTGATTCTACATTTGTGCGAATGCACTTTAACCATTTGCAGTGATGTTATATCTTATCTAGAGGTTTTCAATTACCTTTTATCGATTGTTTGAAAAGTTCTTGAGCTTAACAAAGCAAGAGAGAAGTATAAATATCTTGTTGGTTATAATAAATATTTGAAAATGCTACTATAGTAGATAATCAGAGTATAAGAATTGTTCACATAAACCGATGAAGAATATCAGATTTCATAAAACCAAGCCAAACAATATAACCAGTGAATATAAATAACCGTAGAGTGCTGAAATAAACTGAAACAGATAACTGATACATCCTGGTTGTATATTGTATTTTAGTGATCATCAGAGACTTTGAAGAGTTAAACACCTAAGTTATAAATGACATGAATGAATCTATTCTGATATTCATATTGCATTTGAAAGTGATATTTATTACGTTTGATTAAACTAGAATTGATCAATTTTTTTTTCTGACAAACACCTTCACCATTTTTATCAGACATTAAAAGGAATCTCTGAAAGTATACACATCGAAAATTATTTTAATTTCATTTATTATTTCTGAATTACAGATTAAGTACATTTTTTAAAATTAAATTTACATGTTTATTTGATGTATGTGATCTTAATTGAAATCATAAACAAGGATTTACAATTACAAACTTAAATTATGCCCTTCTTAGAAACAACACTTAGTTACATTAGTCCACTATAAAAAAAAAGATGATTTACATAAATTCTAATCAAAATATACATTGAACTATCGACTTTTAGATTTATTTCGAAGTAACATTTCAAGTACAGCTCTACTATTGAACTAATAATGACGCAATATTTTAAGTAAATCAGCATCAAATCAAGTTCGATTAATTGTGAAATAATTTTTAATGAATTATCAAAATTATTAGTTAAAATTTATTGAGATTTATTAGTTATTGTAGCCAGCATAAATTTTGTTAAAGGTTCACATTTTATACGATAGGACTTTTTTTCTCTCTTAAAATGAGTATATATATAATTTTTTCCGGCTTGACGAGAAATCTTAGTGTTTAAAGTCAATAGAGTAAAACCATTCAACAATTATTTATGTTCATTTATTTAAATACGTAAACATTGGTTCAAGGAGGCACCAAATATATATACGCCACACTTTGTCATTTGATATTTGTGAGGGCTAGAATACTATCCGGGCACCCAAACCGAAGCACATGGTTTTCTTAGAGGGCTTTTGACCTAAAGGTCTAGTCCATAAGGTAGTGGAGCAACATAAGGAGATGCAGTCACATGATAGCCAGTGATTAACAATAGGTTTATACGCCAACTGTCCCATCAGGATGCTGAAGCGCATGTACACCATTGGTTTGGAATCAGGGTTTTCCTACTCACTACTTTCTCGCGGTGGGGGCGTTGTTTACGAAATTGAAAGGACGAAAAGCGAATGTCCGGAGCTTTAACCGGGTTGCCCATTTACACCAATATTTATGCGTTCAAAAAAATATATGTAAATAAATACGGTTTTCCAACTCCCCTAAGTGGACCCTTGCGTCCACCAAACCGGTGCTGGACATTCGCTTTACGTCCTCTCGATTTCGTAAACACACTCCTGCCGCGAGAAGACATGAGTAGGACTTCTGTAACAGTGGTTATATACGCGTGGCCATGTGAGAGCATTTCCAGAGGGAGAGAGAACTCTCCCCACCCTCGACTATACCAAAGTTGATGTATTGAATTTCAAAACAACACACAATAAACTTCACTCAATGATCAGTTTCACTGAAAATAAAGATTATGGTTGAGCAAATGATCTTACAGTAAAATGGTCTATAGGGACATGCTTTACACATTTCAATAATGAAGTACAACATCAGAAAAGAATTATTTTGTCACATAACATTTATTTTGTGAAGTAACTTCATCTGACCATACTAAGTCGAATTTACAAATAACTGTTAATCATTAATGAAAAATATATTTACGAAGTGCAATTTCTAAGATAATTGATGGTTCAAAAACAAATTAACCACCAGTTATTTATATGAAATTTGGCAGTGTAAAAAATCTATGTCTTTTCTCTTTTCAGTACCAAAACATCACCAAAGACTCAGTATTCCGTATTGGAACAAGATTTTTGAGAATTTGGATCATAGGAAGGTACCTTCAGAAGAAAATGAAGAAGAGATGTAACAGATATTTATATAACCCCACCAATGCCCAATACAGTTTCCTTCACGTTGATTAGAAGGAAGAGATCAAGGCTTCAGTGGGGAATTAACCTCAGCAACCGCTCACTGTGGGTGACACGCCAGACTTTTTAGTTACATGTAACGTTGTAAATGTCTGGAAGAAAAAATGCAAACATTTGTGTGTAAAATAGAATATTTATGTTAAGATATAAACAGCAAAACAAAAACAGATTTCCAAAGACATTAAACTTTTTTTGTGCGCCTGATTTATACTATGAAAACCCAATCTTAGGCCTTATCTTGAAAACGGTTCAATGCAAATAAAAAAACAATATTCACAAACCTCAGAACAAGTTGGGTGAATTCCAATTGTACGATCGAAATCTGCTTTAGTTGCACCCATTTTAATTGCAACTGCATATCCCTGTGTTATCTCCCCAGCATTAGGACCCAAAACATGCAGACCCAGTACACGCATGTGCTACAAAACGAAATAAATGAGAAAAATGGTGAACTATTAAAAATGTGCTGTTTATCTTAGAAAGTTCAGGTTCGCTTCCCATTTGCATTTCATTATCAAATGATGCTCCATAATTGAAGAAAACGTTTAATAAAAATGAAAAATTACACCAGTTAAAAAGTACACATAATAGTAAATACACAGAATATGATGAAATTTAAGTGACCATCAAAAAATATAATAATGGTCTCATATTTTTTCAAGTATGGTGCATAAAGGTAGTTGTGCTTAACAGCCCATTTAAACTTAAACTTTAATGAACTTATACATTATCCAGTACTTATTGATAAATTAACTATATATGAGTTGGTCAATTCATATTTATTTATTACTAAGTCATTTACCAGACAAGGATTTGTGTACTTAGGTTTAAGCTGAACTCTAAAAGTGGTGGGGAGGTTGATGATAATATTTTCTATTCAGGAAGATCTGGGAGGAAGAACAAGTACCGATGGACTGAAAGGAAGGAGATCTCATCAAGAAATCAAAGAAAGGAGATCTAAACAAGGGTGAGAACTACAGAGGAATCACACTACTGTCAGTAATAGGAAAAGTCTTCAACAGAGTGTTGCTGAACAGGATGAAATATTCAGTAGACACACAACTTCGAGATCAACAGGGTGAATTACGTAATAATCGGTCGTGCACTGACCGAATCACGACACTACTGACCATTGTTGAACAATTAGTTGAGTGGAACTCGTCACTATACATTAACTACATCGACCATGAGAAGGCATTTGACAGTGTGGATAAGCGAACCCTCTTCGACACGATGGAGTACCTGAGAACATCGTCAACACTATCCGGAATTTATACGACGGACTACAGTGCGAAGTGGTGCATAGAGGACAGCTGATAGATGCATTCCAAGTGAAGACTGGAGTCAGACAATGCTGTCTACTCTCACCCTTCCTCTTTATTCTGATGGTCGACTGGATTGTGAAGACCTCGATATCTGAGGAAAGGCATGGAATACAATGGACAACTTGCATGCAACTAGACGATTTGGACTTCACAAATGACCTGGCACCTGGCCATTCTATCCCATTCACACCAACAAATGCAGATGGAGACAGCCAGTGTAGCAGAAGTCTCTGCATCAGCGGGCCTCAACATACACAAAGGAAAAAACAAGATCCTCAAATACAATATGGAGGACACTAACCCGATCACACCTGATGGAGAAACTCTGGAATAGGTGGAATCTTTCACATACCTCATCGGCATCATCGATGAACAAGGACGATCTGATGCAGACGTAAAGGAGAGGATTAGCAAAGCAAGAACTGCATTCCTACAATTCAAGTATATGTGGAACTCAAAACAACTGTCAACCAATATCAAGGTCACAATCTTCAATACGAACGTCAAGACAGTCAGTTTTATTGTACGGAGCGGAATTCGGAGAACTACTACAACCATCACCAAACATCTACAAGTATTTATAAACAATTGTCTACACAAGATACTCAATGTTCGTTGGCCGATTACCATCAACAACAGTATAATGTGAGAGAGGACAAAGCATTATCCAGTTGAGCAGGAAATTAGGAAAACACATGGGAAGTGGATAGGACGTACATTGTGCAAATCATCAAACTGCAACATGAAGCAAGCGCTAACTTAGGATCCTGAAGGGAAACGAAAAAGAGGAAGGTCAGAGAACACCTTGCTTCGGGAATTGGAAGCAGATATGAAAAGGATGAACAGCAATTAGAAAGGACTGTTCAGGACAGAGTTGGATGGAGAATGTTGGTGAGCGGCCTATGCCATTATACGACGAGGGGCAACAGAAGTAAGTAATTCAGTACAAGTGTCGTTTGTAAAAATCAGTGATAAGCTAGTTTACTGTTTTTAAAATTACGAAATGATGCTTTCACTAAATTTATTTAACACACCCTCACAAATAATAAGTGCCGAAATGCATTATAATCCCAGTTAAAACGAAGAACTAACGGTTGGATAGCTTTTTTATGAAGTATAATAAGCTCAAAGGGATTTAGTGTGGTCAAAAGTAACCTTGTATATGAACTTACATCAGATTTACGACAAACAAGTTTCATGTAACAAACGTTATCTTCACGATGAGCGACAGTCCATTCCAAAGGTTTAAAATTTGAATGATACACCTAAAAAGGTAGAAACGATCACAGTGAAACAGAATAACATTAGTTACATCTAATAATGAAACTTACTGTCAAATGTGGAACATTCTAAAAAAAACTGTTTTGATAAATAATTATTTAAATATTCGCATTTAGATACTATAAATGTAACTAGAGTAAGAAATATTTTCGTATGCTGAGACTTAAGTTTTAGTTACGAATATAATAATGTATCCAGAAAAATATTTGCAACTGATTATTGCTACTGTTCGGTGGAAATGAAAAAAGCTGGAAGTTTACACTAATAAGAAATAGATATTGGAAGGTTTCATGCACCAAACCCAGAAACAACTAATCAGTGATTACAGTGGTGTGAACAAACACTGTTCGACTGCATGACTACCGAAAAGCAAGTACAAATAAAAATTTTGTTGAAACACTGTACAAATTAACTTTCTCATCAGGATTGTGGCATTATATGGTGAACACTCGATAGACGAATTCGTTGTAGTAAGGCTAGATATCTCTCAACAATGACAGCTTTGTATTGAATAAATGATTTATTATAACAGCTTGATAAAAATATTAATTTAACATTGCTAGCTGAACTTGAGGTGTGCAGTCATTAATTTCATACACGTTACATTTGTATTGGCCAATGAAAATAAGGATCATGAATGACACCAATCATGCCACCGGTAAACTAGGTTGATTTAATGATTTAATCATCTAGTATGGCGATTATTTGATTTATACATAAATTGGTTTCTTCTAGTGCGTAAATATTCACCGTAGTGATCTTTTTGTCAGATTTATTCATATGATTTTCGTTTGTTCCAATGTCACAATGTGTTAAGATCTTTTAACATGATACCTATAATCAATTATTAAAACAAAATGATGGTGGCCAACGGGGAAGATATTTATTGAACGAATGTGATTTGTTAATGTATTTCAGTGCTGTGAGCTGTTACTGTATTTGACCGAATTCAATGAGACTAACATTATAAAAGGTTTATTTCAATGTCAGCATTTTGAGAACAATCATTTTCTAGGTTTCAATAAAATTTATATATTGTGGCCAGTAATGGATTTTCCATTAAGAAAAAGAGGCAATAAAATATTTCCAGACATACCTCAATATCCTTATCACCATATTTTTCAATTGCATCTTCTTCACTCAATCCACAAGCCCCATATTCAAGTGGAGTGAAAACAGTTGTAGCAACATTGGAATAGTCAGTCTAAATGAGAATATATACAAACAGAAACAATTATGAAAAATATATAGATGTAAAAAACTATATAGTCTGGTGCTGATAAATGAAACAAAACAGTCTGCTAATCAAAGGTCTTATATTTTCTTTTGTTTGATCATGAAGATGGGATATTTGTTTATTATCTATATAGCAACATGTGGTTGAAAGTCAAGAATATGAACGTAGATAGAGTTAGTGATATTCAATCAGTTATTCACTTAAGATCATTTATTTACTGCGAAGTACGGAAGTTTTATGCCTTCCGGATGGTCAAACTTAGCTGGGTTATATATTGCTTTAACAGAAAACGAATGTACGGTGAGCAATAAATAGAAACTTGAATTAACATGAATGGATAAAACGAAGTTTGAAGAATTGTGAGTTTTATAGTTTAAACTTACTAGTTCAGTTGCACCAGCAAACAAACGTTTAGCCAAGTAGCGCCCAGCTTGAATAGCCACGGGAGTTAATTGTGGTTTTCCAGCATTGATATCTCCGATGGCATAAACATTACTGACTGTAGTTTGTTCATCATCTGTGCATACAACTCGACCATTCCTGAATGATTATACATTTCAATTATGAAAAATCAAACAAAATGAAGGTATTACAATAAACCGTTCTTGAAACTAGTACAGAATTAACTATATACTGAACATGTACCCCAGTAACAAACGAAACTAGACAAACAATTGAATTATTACAACCAACTCTCAAATAAACACCAATGAGAAAGCCTAACTGCCATCATGTTCAAATTGGCATAATAACATAGAATCTCATAGGAACATCGATAGTCTCAGTTTGCTATACTTACAAACAACAGAGAGAGAGAGAGATAGCAATGAAAATAAATAAGGATATAAGTCAAACAAATAAAAAGTGATGATACATTCAAAAGTTGGGAAACAAGCATCTACAAAAATGACCAATTTTAAGATATTTTACGTAAGATATTCAACTGGAGAAAGAAAAGAGAAATGTGAAATTTGCATAGGTTCTCTTCGATGCATTTAGTTTTAATAGTCAACTTTTTTTGACTTCTTCACCCTTCAAATCCCTTTCTACCGTGAATTAGAGTTAATTTACTACAAATGTTACTCAGTTTCACATACAAAAAAAAGATTGATTTATTTTATTTATATAATCACATGAGTCATTTACAAATACTACTAGGTAAGGATCAAACTTGTGAATCGGCTATTGTTTCGTAGTAATAAAATCTTAAGTAATCAAGTATTTAGAAATTAGATTTACATGATAATCCATGAACAGATCTGTTATGGCGTTTTTTGTATTATCACCGTATTAGTTAATTAACTAACCTGTTGTAAAGCAAAAAAAGGTATATTGTTTAAAATCTAGTTATTACCCAATTAGAGTAGTATATATTTGTTCAATATGTGTTAAAAACATGAGCTACTCTAGCTTTAACGTTACACCATCATCTACCCATTTCTATAATCACTTTCTAGTGAACGGTCGTATATATTGTTTAGTCAAGGAGAATTCAGTAAGGAAAACTGGATGAGGGAAATCGATTGTACATATAGTAGTTATTTATTAACAGTATCAGTCAAATGGTAAGTTTTCCCGCTTATCAACAAGATAATTCAGTGTTAAATCAAAGACCAAACTGAATAATGATCAGATCATCATGTATGACTTGTTCTGAGATGGATACCCCAAATCTTTATTGAGACGTCCATGGCCTGTAGTAAATCAAGTCGGGGATGAGGAGTATTTACATCATGATATTAAATTGTGATACTTGTATATTGTGAATCGAATGAAGTTATAGTTTGAAATGTTAAATTTTGACTTTATAGTAAAACAGAACCACACTTACAATGACACCTAATATTTTGGAATTGGTCATGGATGAGGGGTTATGAGTGTGCACCTGCAAGCATTCCCAATTCAGAATGAAACAACAATGTAGTGCTCACCAGTTTTTATTACTTCAGTAGTTGATATCAGTTTATGTTAATATGTCGAAAAACCGTATTTTTAAAAACCCAAAACATTGATTATAACCTACTTGTCTAGTTTAACACCCACGGTTGTACAAAGAACCTTCGATAATTGTGGTTCACGACCAACAGCAAAAATGACCTACAAAATAAAGATGACTGATTAGATTATTATCATCATGTTGCGTGGTTTTATCTATGTTGCTAAATATGACGATATCAATAGTAATCTGCTTATGATAGATTTTCCACAATTCACTGAAATAGTGTTACACCGAGATTTAACAAAATGATTAGTTACAAAGTACATTAAATGAGTGATATATTAAAATTATTTGATGTGCCTAAAATCATAATAATCAATTCGTGTGAGCATTTTGTTAAAAAAACATCATTAACTGGTTGGCTACACAAAATTACTATTCTTATCATTCATTTAATAACTTGGACCAACTGGTGTTTATGCTAATTCTCATGTATCAATCTTCCTAACTAATTTGCGAACAAGTAAAAAGATTTAAATTACAACACTTAGAAACTCGAGAACCCAATATACTCGACAGGAATTTGATTTCTAGTATGCTGACCGCAGTCTTTCTAAGCGAGGAACTATTGTGGAAACAGCTTAAGATGTTTGATTCTCGGTTTTGAACTTATTAAGGTTTAGTATGAGTATACATTCAAACAGGCTGAGGAAATCAGGCAAAACAACAGATAGCAAACTGATCATCAAATACAGACATTAGGGCAAAACCTGGTAGAAAAGTATAGCAGTTTAAGTTGTTACAATTTGTAACAGTATAAAAAGAGAAAATTACATTCAACAAAAAAGATAATAAGGGTTGTTAAGGAAACGAAATATATGCTTGCTTCTGCTAGTTATAACGTTATCAAGAAGTCAATTTATCAGTGAACAGAACAGCATAGTACTGACCTATATGACTACGGAACACCAAATAATGCAGAATGAAATGAGAAGTCTGAAAAAACTAACCATTGGTTGTACTGCAATGTGATCAAATGACGCCATTAATCTATGTAGTCACTAACAGAATTTAATTAGGAATATGTCTACGGATTCCAAGGTTGCGAATAATGAGGAATAGAAACAACAATAGATTTGACCTTATTACAACCGTTATATTTGATTTATGATCAAAATCACCTGAAACTTTGATGTATTTACATTAAAATGATTAGTTTGTTGTATAGGTGATGAGTCGAACATAAAATGTTGGTATAATATAGTATTGTAAGTGGAAAAAGGTTTAGTAGTTAAGGTATTTGACTTCCGACCCCTAAATTCCGGTCTCGAACTCCACTCCACCTAATTTAGTTTAGGAGACGAGGCAGCATTATAACTCCTTAAACCTACAATGTGGCGTATACCCAAGTACCTGGTAAATGAATCAGCATAGTATATAACATACAATTAAAAAAGTAGATAACTCAAAACTGAAGATGATGGGGATTGTTAACAACTAATCGAGCACTAATTATTTGACTGAGTGATGGATGTTAACAAAAAGTAAAATAAAACTACAGAACTGTCAGTAATTTGATTAAATGGAATCTTAAAATTGAATGAATAAGAGCTAATTTTAATAGTTCAAATAAGATATCATAATAGACAGAGAATGGATTTGTAAATGCGTCCAGTGATTCCAATGAATCATATCTGCTCCACTTAACATTCTTCAATATAAAAAGTGAAAACAGCTGTAATTATGTGATCAAATGTTAAGTTTATGGAAATATCAATGAATGTAACAAGTGAGTAAATTTATCCCCATTAGCAGTTATCAGCTAGCTACATCCTTATCAATCAATTTGTGCTTATAACTAATCAACTGAAGTAATTAATAACCTTAGGAAGCGTAAAGAAAATGTAACACACAAGAACATACATGAGTATGTCAAACATCTTGTCAATTACTAAGAATGATCTTCCCTTTAATAAAATGATAGAATTATCGTAATATTAATGCAAAACGTTCGAGAAAGAATATGGATTTGATGTAAAAACATACCGTTTCAAATTCTTCTTCAAACTTTTTACCGTCGGTATAATGACCCTTAACAAGCAAAAGTCCAGGTTTATTATTTTCAGTATCTACTGCTTTCAATTGTTTGATCTAATGATAGAGAAAAAAAAGGCCAATTATACTTTATAAATAAGAGTACTGCTTTGAAATTATTACCAATACATTTTTACTAGATAAATATTTAAATTATAGAAACTCATTAGAATTTTAATGGTACATTAAATTTCATACTTTTCAAATACTATTGATAACCAGGATTGCTTCTCAAAAACTAAATGAAGATAATTTAAATCAAAATGGAAAAGTATTCTAAATGAAAGAAATTAGGAAAAATGGTTGGTAATAGTCTAAATTTTCTTTTAATTTATACAAAATAAGTAGAGCTACACTAATTAAACATAAACTTTCTGTCTTCTAAATAGTTTTAAGCAGTCGATATATAAATATATCTAAGCAAGGAAAGTATATTGTCAATAAAAAAACTAATAAGTTATTTTGCTTAGCCAAAATGATATAATGAACACAACTTTAGTTTGTCAGAAACAGGTGGTAACTCAAAGAGTAAATAGGATCAACAATTCCGGCAACGAGATTTATTTCAATTAATTGTAGTAATACTACACTAGTGATCCTTAGACGAGCTTAACGTTAAGATTACTGGGAATAGCCCAAGACTACTGTATTCAAAATTTTAGGAGATTGCCAATATAACATTATTTTTTTAATTTAAAGGTTGTGGCTTCTCTGGTTGAGTCACAAGAATGTAAGGATTCGAAATAATTTTAGGATTGAGATAAAATTTATTCAAATAACATGTTTGCTTTCTTTGATCAGTAATCAGCCCTTTTCAGTAGGGTAAAATTTCTAATTTTATGGAGAATTATTATTATAAATACTAACATATTGTTGAGCCAGGGAATTCCTACTCACTGCCTTCTCGTGGTGGGGATGTTGCTCACGAAAAGTGAATGTCCGGCGCTTTAACCGGGCCAGTGGACACAGTGAGTCCACCTACGGGAATCGGGAAACCCTGATTCCAAACCAATAATACACATGGGCTACAGTATCCTGAGGGAACAAATGGCATCTGAACCAATTACTGGTCACTGGCTACCATAGGACTGCATCTCCTGACGTTGCCCCACTGCCTTATGGATCAGACCTTTAGGTCGAAGGCCCTGTATGTGACCACTAAAAAAACCACCTGCTTCAGCCTGGGGACCCAAGCAGTATCACAGCCCACACACAAATCAAGTGACTTGTGTGATGTATATGTATTCGGTGCCCCTTTATACCAACATTTGTGTTCAAATAAATATAATAAGAAATAGTTAAGCAGTAAAAGTCTATACTTTAAATGTTTTTCCATTAAACTATAAACATTTCATTATTTTGTTTTGGAATTATTTAAGAAATACATTACTAACCTCATCTGGTATACATAACTTTGCAAACTTGACTCCATGATTCTCCATGTAGTCACCAACCTTTTCAGCCATTTGTTGATCGAAACCACGAAGTAAAATGGAACGAACCATAACGGTAACATCACCGCCTAAACTAGCAAGGAAACCAGCACATTCCAGTGCAACGTAACTTGCTCCAATGACTAGTGTTTTGCCCGGGAAGTATGGCAAAGAAAATAAATCATCGCTGAAAAGGTTAAGCGATTCACAAATACATATAGTATGTTTCCCAACTCAGCTTAGTAAGCAACATAATTTTGTGCGGTGCTTAGATAAAATAGGTAATTTTTATGGCTGGTATAAATATTAAATCAACTTGAATCTAGAGTAGCAGAAACGCTCACTCTGTATAAATCGGTAAGCGAACAAAAGTGAGCATCCGGCAGATATTCGTATCTATACAAATAGTACAATTTATAACAGCATAGTAAGATCAGGACCAACAGCCAGTGACTTCGTGAACTTATGTCTTGGTTTACCTTCTAGTTTTCTAACCCATTTATACTCTAGCCAACATTGCACATCCGGGTAGCTGGTTGTTGGGTATACACAGCACAAATTTCAGTTACGTCAATCAATGAAGACTTACAACCTCACCAAATGATTTATCAACTTTATCCAACTCCAGCATTGCTCACTAAGTCTCACTATACGCGGCCTATGCTTTGGAGGTATCTACAATAAAAAGCCTGTAGCCTACAGACGTTATCGATTCCCGCAAACCGTGTTTCCCAGACGTAGAGTACTACAGAGCGGCTTGTCATGCAGTCAATTCATCCTTTGATAGGTACACAGACATCTTCCCAAGGTCACAACTAACGTATGTTCGCAAAAAACCAAGTGAGCTTTCTGAATCAGTTCTAAACACATTGTTGTGTAGGGTATTCAAACGACTAGATAATGTTAGGGTGAGAACAACGATATATGGGATGTTTGAAAAATAGTCAGAATTAAGAGAAACCCTCGGCACTTAGTCTCTAAATAAGATGACTAAATTCTCAACTACGCTTCATCTTACACCAAATGAGATCAAGATTATCTCAAAAAACTTACTTATTACCCAACAAATATGAAAAGTGAACAGTAAAATCATCTAGGTATTCACTTAGCATCAAGTTTACGGCAACATAAAGCTGGGTGTTGCCGTCAAAGATTAACAAAGATAACCAAATAATACTTGAAAATATGGTTTACATTGGACAAAAATCAAGGCTATTGGTTAATGGAAACCACAAAATCACCAAACATACAACTGTTAACCAGTTTATTAGTAGTAGGTAAAATAAATGGGTAGTTCATTTAGTATACATCAGGAAACTATATGAACAATGTACATGTGATCAAATTCAACAAACATTTGGACTAGATATGTAAAGGACCAAATGGATACATGATTATATTCAATAAAGCTAAATGCATAACAGCTTATTCACGTATTATTTTCTTGTTGCGCATGGATGTATTGATAAACACATCAACATAACCAGTAAAATGAGTTAAGAAAATACAACAAACCTTGTAATCCCATATTCAACCGCTCCAGGTATTTCTGGGTATTTTGGGCGTTCACCAGTAGCTAAGATAATTTTGTCTCCAGTTATTATAGATACTTTTTGGTTCTTATCTGTAATCTGTATGGAGTGAAGATTTTTAAGGAAAATTTGACATCACAATTGTTTGGTTTTCATACCACGATAACAGACAATTAGTACCCGATATAAAATTAGATTTAATACAAATTTTGAAAAAAAACAGAGGGTATTCATTAGATGTTGAAATTCCACCTAAAGGAATACAACACCAAGACTCTCGAAGTCAATGGTACATTGTATTGTGCGTTCGAACATTATCTTAAGCATTAAAAAACTCAGCTTCAGGAAGGTCTTATTTAAAAAATGAGGTCATTAAATATGGTTTAAAAATAAACTCAAACTATGGTGTAGCTCAACGACGAAATCATACAGAAACTAGTCCCATCCAAAAGATGTAAACTAGGGAAGGAAAATAAAAAAAATATTAACTGAAAATAATATCTGATCTTGACATATAGTAGTCAGACATATTTATCCATACTTAGTGTGTAACACAAGTTTACATTAACATTGTAGGTATGCCTTCAATAACAAGAACTAGGTCCAGAAACTTATGTGTTTGCTCTTCACTTAAAAAAAGTGGTGATTTACACAATAAACCGATGATAGGTAGTTGTTGTCAGATTATGTATGCGTAGTGACGAACAGTGAATTATCTTTCAGAAACAAAAGCAATCACAACTGTTTATTAAACTCCACATCTGCTTAAACTTTAGACATGAAATAAATGAACATTTTCTGCAAAATTACCGCAAGATTTGGGAATTGAGTGGAATAAACAATGATAAAAATTCCAAAAAAAAATCGAAAATAAGGCACACAATTGATCTTAAGCAAATATTTTAGGATGTTTACCCAAACAAAACATACCTGCACCTCATGAGGGCTTATAAGCATCCCTTTAGCATTCAGATACGTGACTTGATTATCTCTTAGTGCAACTTTATAACCCCAGTTTAGAGAACCGATGTGACTTTGAACCCCCTCAACCATAGTTGACCAATTATGCGAAACTGAAATTAGAAGACATAATGCTAGCAGTAATGGAAACACAACAAAGTTTAAATTGATGGAAAATTCCCATTATTAAGTTTAAATTTTTTATATGATAACTTATAAAATGTATATGTGATTTCAAACCTTAATTTTTAGAAAATCCTTGGGAAAAAGGGTCATAAGGCTCTAGCTTATCACATCCATGTAATTATTTAATACATTTCGATAATAAAATATATCATGCTCATCTATACATTATCAGGCTATAAGAGGTACATATCAAAAATAGATAAATACCAAGTGAGTTCAGAATGTAAAGATAAAAAATAAATGAGTCATTAGTGTGCTATAGTTTGTTAGGCTATTGTCACCACCGAAACGAACATTAACCACCAAAAGCCTTGAAGCATATCTTTTATGAACTCCGTTTATTAAAACTTTTGAACTATTATTCGCAATTGCTAGGGCTGGGCTAAATAGTAATCCCTCTGGGAAGTTACAGATGGCTAATGTGTCGCATGTGGTTTCTAATTAAGCAACAACTTCCAAAAGCAGTGCACCGAAGCTTAAGTACTAATGTGGTGTGCGCTACTGATGTCTACAGATATAAGTAGTATGTATCAACAATAGGAAGTGAAATGTCTGGGGGGAGAAGGTTAAAAAAAATCGAAGAAAAGAGAACGAGAACAGAAAATGATTAGTGTGGAAATGAAGGAACAACAAAGTCTGAGATGATTGACACTTTGCAAATGTAGTATTTACTGTATGGTTCTCAGATCATACGAAGATATTCTATAATTTTCTATTCAAATACATTTGGTTGTCTCCACTTGTGTTCTCGTTCACTACACTAACATCACTTGTAGTTCATAAAAACTGTCCAAAAGAATGTAAATACGTTTAAAAACGAAGAAGTATCCGATATTATAAGACACACAGGTATAAGGTTTCAGTCAACTTATTCCTTACCTCACTTATTTCGAAAGTCTAAATCATTTGCTGAAGTACATAGTGGTCGGCAAGTAATAGACAGTTAATATTTTCACAATTTAAGACCGATGACAAATTGCATGTCTTAATGTAGTCACTAATATGCTTCATTTTAAATAATATAGTTGAAAAACTAAGGATTGTAAAACAACGTTGCAAGAACTAGTCGGTAACAATAGTTAGAGATCCCCTTATTTGACTAATAAATACAAGAACATGGCAAATGATAGAAAATACTGTTAAGTCAATCTGTTAATGAAAAACACTACACAATGAAACTATTAGCCCTAGATTAGACTACTAATTTTCTGGTTTGTTTCTTAAGATTTTAATAAACATTGTGGGTTTTCGTATCAATACATCACCGAACCAAAAGTAATCTGTGAAAGTAAGCCACTTATCTTAGTGGAGATCTTATAAACATAAATTACGAAGACAGATGATGGTAAATACCGACTATAGCGAGTCTAACGAAAATTGTGTGATCATTTTACTTAGAAACAAATGAGCCATCATATTGTTAGTTTAATTTCATCTGCAGACTATCACGTTATGTGTGAAAATACAACACTGATGTGTTATATCTAGTAGACTAGATTTTCAATGAACCACAATGAATGGATGTTTAGAAAAATCAATTATTAAAAAATGGTGATAAGTTTCGTATTAAAAGGAGGTTGAAAAAAACAGAAAAACAAACGTTACTTTTCGATCGATCCAAGCTCCATCCGAAATGTTCTGCGTCTTCCAAAGCATGACCTAACAATCATAAAAACATCATATCATTAGAGCACATAAATATGTGTGATAAGACTGTGCCGAAAAATGTAAATTTCATATAGATGCTATCCTCATGAAAATTAAAATTCAGAGAGCCGCGACCGCTTCGTAAAGCGATTTAAATCACACTGAAAGTTTAGGTTATAGCTATCCTATTTACTAAAGAATAAAGGCTAAATACCGAAACGATTCATTGAAAAACGTACTTAAGAGTCCAGCTTGGTGCATCAATTTTTTCGGGATACATCCGACGTTTACGCACGTCCCACCTAATCCCCAAGTGGTACCTATTGGAGTAGGTTCTACAAAGTCCAAAACGGCTGTTTTCGCACCGTATTTAGCAGCCTCCTAAGGGATAGAAAACAAGAATAACATGTACTGACATTTTACAACAAATCAAACTAGAAATTACACTGGCTTGCCCTGACATTGAAATTAGAGTACACGTCCTGAGAGTTGAGTAGGTGACAGCGTAAATCAATGAACGATTTAAACCCTTCATATAATTGTTGTGACCAGTGGTTGGGAACAGTTTCGCATCGGTCACAATGGAACAGATGGATCCACGCTTTGTCATTCTTTCGATTTGAAACCTTGAAGTTATTTTATACCAATTATTCCACCAATTAATTATTTCTTTTCGAATCATAATTTTTATGCTCATTCCCTTTTACGATAACTAATACTTCTAGTACTTTGGTATTTACCCTATTAATTCTATTCTCTTATGTTGATGTGATGTGGCAACTTGGACTGATGTACCTATCTGCCAAGTTCCACGGCTTTGATGACTGGGTGACTGATAATCAGAAATAGGACTCCCTTAGCCCCACTGAAATCGATTGGGATATTCGTACATTCACGACAGAAACGAGTCTAAACCAGGAACGGTGTGAATACACACGAACCAAAAGGGTTATGACTTTAATCTTTCCTTAGGTGATGAATGGATGACTTTGGGATAGATATATGGTTGATTCTGATGTAATCTCGGTTAGTTTCTAATGCCTCTCCAAAATAAAAATGATACGATTCACAAATCAGAGGAAACACAAATTGGAAAATGCGCACGAGCCGTGAATTGAAATAAACTACTGAGAACAATTTTCCATTGTTTGACCGATTATCTTCAGACTATAATTACGACCCTTTTGAAGAACCTCCTAAAAGCCTACAATCAATTGCACTATTTAATGTTTACTGTGAGTTATTCCCGGACATAAAGTATTTCTTGTCATTAGGCGACATATGGCAGAAGTAAACAAGAAATACGAACCTGATTACTAAAAGCTAACCACTCAAAATGATCATCCTACTCAATATTGTGAAAATTCCCATTTTGCCACTTTAATTTAATTTGCACTTTGTCATAAACATCCTTCTAGTGTTAATGGTTCACTTGCTTTTCACCCTACAAGATATGTAGATGACGACACTGTTTGGAGATACAACACAAGTCTTTTATGCAAATAGTGTGGAACCAGATATATTTAGGATGCATTTTTTAGTCTTTTCAATTCAGTGTTATTCATATAAATGTATGCTACCTCATATTTGGCAATGGTGGTTGAAAACTAGAGTGGACACAACTATTTCTGAACCTAGTACAAAACACCGCACACTTCCGTCAAATGACCTTTAACAGACTTAGCGGTCATCATAAGAGCTTGTGATAAGCTATTTATAAATTACACTCGGTCGGTTTGAATTAAGACGTATACAATAGAGTTAATGAAATTTATTCGCGTTAACTCTCTGAGCCTGCTTTCCAGATGGAAGAGACTCAAACGTCAGACGTTTATTCTGCCCACTTGAGCCCCCATTTATTGGTTGGCATTCGAGGTCTGATTAAAACGTGAACCATGCTTACTTGATAAATTTAGTCATCTGAGGATGCTGTAGCTATTGAATGAACAAGTACCTTTGAAATGTGTTCAATTTAATGAGAATACGTACAAAGAAAAAAGATTTGATATCTATCGTAACAGAAAGAAAGTACCTTTCCAGCAGCAAGTCCACCAGATCCTCCACCGATAACTATCAAATCATAGTCATACTTGCTTTCATTGACAATACTCGTCAATTCATTATTACGGTGGTATTTTAATACCATCTGAGAATCCCCTTGAACAACTCATCAGGGAGTTTCCTATTACTTACCGATGAATTTGCCCCTAACAAACATTTGAGGAACTGTTTCAATTTTCGAGAAGCTGGCTAAGGACTTCTGAATGGCCGAACCATTGGCTAAAAAAGGAATAAAAGAGAATTTTGACATACATAATTGATCCAGTTCAATTGTAGCATGCTTAATCTTTGCTTCAGCCAAAACATCCTTCACCTACAAAATAAAATACATGAACGGAAATCGACCACCAACATTTTTGCAATAAGGACAAGTCGTCTTGCTAAACAATATTACGGCCGCTGAATCTATCGTTTTTCGTAGCCATTGAGATGTTCCATCAACTGGAGGCATGGTGTATGGCTGAAACAATAAAAAATTCAAATGTTGGCAAAGAAAAAAATGAGCCCACAAACTTGACTGAACAGAAAACTACTTACACAGTTTGACATGCAATTAAAACAACACCGTTTACTTAGATGTATGAAACATTTTGTGCTGTAAGAAGTGTAAGTCCTAATTGACCAACTTCACTACAAACGTGTAACAAGAGCTATTAGCACATTTGAGCTGACATTTTAATAACGTGTCACAAATAATCATAATTAGGCGTTAACATAGATATAAACTGTGTATAGTAAAAAAGCAAACTTGAAAAACAATAAAATGTGTAAAGGTAACTTAGTGAAAATTAGTGCTGACAATGACTAGTGATGCGCTCATTGGACTAAAAATTCAAGATAAAATTTGTGCTAGACAATGAACCAGAACATTTAAAACCGTTGTCCTACCTTATGTATGCTTCGCTGCCAAAACAGTCACTCGAAGGTCGAATATATCAGGTACCCCAATAGTGGGGCTACTGTATACGTATGTAGGAAGTGCAGACAATTAGGTTTTCGGCAAAATACTTTTTGAGTACCATAGGTATGGGGCATAGAGCGCATGTCATGACAATTAACTACATGCAAAAAAGCAGCTATCAGCTAACGACATTAAGTTCCAAGCTCAGAATCCTATGTTGTCTTTATATGCAGCCTTATGGAGGTAAACTACTCAGACGTCCGAAGTGGTTATCAACATTTGACGAGACTAATATAAAGAGAACCTCGCTATGCTATTCGAAAGTTAAAAGCCTTACGGTTTTATTTTCACTGCCAGAAGAAATGCAAATCTTTCGGCCTCTAGATAGGAATAATGAGAATTTAAGCTGACGTAAATGAAGATATTTACGACAAAATTCATTCTTTTTGTGCATGCAAAACAACATTTTACCGATTCATTTCTACGGTTCCATGTGCATAATAAAGGGAGACACACTTTGTGAAATCGACTTGCGTTTATACAGAGACTTCTAAACCAAGACATCAGACGGTATCGCTGTCAAGAGGATAATGTTTGATTTGGTACAATGCAACAAAATGCGATGCAAAAATATGAAAATTCTATAGATATAAATATCAGTAACCCGAACCATACCACAAATGCATCCAAATCACGAACTCTGCAGAATCTTCAAGTATTTATACTTTGCGCTGGTAAGTAGGTCAGTCTTCAATCTTCAGTAATAAGGATAAAAGGTTTATCAACCTATAATAATCCTTGCAGTTTGTAATACTGTAGAGGTCCAATATCGTTTTGCATATATCAACAGAAGATGCTGATATTACGTGTTCCGGTAGAGAATTTCAGTAATTCACTACTCGGTGCGAGAAACGAAACTCCAGAAGTAAACGATTTGATCTCGGTTTTTGAACTTTCTTCGAATTTCCTCTTAAGTGATCAGTCCTGGACGGAAGTAAAAGATAAGACATGTTAATACCAAGGCCATCGTTCAGCATACGATAAGCCAATACTAGATCACTCCGTATTATACGGTAAGATAACGGAAATAGGTTGAAGTGTCTCAATCTTCAGTCTTCAGTCTTCAGTAATAAGGATAGTAGGTTGGTGAACCTGTATTAATCCTGACACATTGCTTTCCAGTGAGGGTCCAGCTTTTCCTTGAAAGTATTCACTGATGGGACTGATACCACTTGTTCGGGTAAGGCGTTCCAATGACTGACTACTCGATGAGAAAAACGGGGCCTCGCTTTAAGTTTATTAGATCGTGGTTTATGAACCTTCTTGCTATGACCTCGGAGATTATTAGTGCTGGAGGGAGCAAAAAGATAAGACATATTAACACCCAAATCATAATTAAAGATACGAAATGCCAGTTTAAGGTCACCTCGTGTCCTACGATACGACAAGGGGAAAAGATTTAGGCGTTTTAAACGCTCATCGTAAGGGACTTTAGAAAAACCCTTCACTAATTTCGTTCCCACACGCTGGACACGCTCAAGGGAGTTAGTATCCTTTACTAGACACGGGCTAGCTGCTTGGATACAGTACTCTAAATGTGGTCTAACATATATGGGGTATAAAATTCGAAACGTTTCCTCGTCAGAAGATTTGAACGCTCGGCGAAGTGACCATAACGCACGAAAACCTTTGACAGTGGCTACTTTGCAATGCACAGTTGTTTTCAAGTCATGACTTAATATTACTCCTAAGTCCTTATGCTCTTGAACGCATGGAAGAGGTTTACCCTCAATAGTGTAACGGTAACTATTACCGTGACCGACGTGCATTAGTACACTCTTCCTAGCATTAATTTCTAAGCCCCACTCTCGAGCCCATCTAACTAAATCGTCTAAATCAGCTTGAAGATCCAGATGATCATCCGCACTTTTTATTGTTCTCCAGGTTTTTACATCATCCGCAAACAATAATGTTGACGACCTAAACAACAGCGGTAACTCATTAACGTAGAGAAGGAAGAGCAGAGGGCCTAAGATGGTGCCTTGGGGTACACTACTTTTGACCGGCTTCCAATCGGATAGCGTTCCATTGACCCTAACTGTCTGTCTGCGGTCACATAAGAAAATGCCTATCCACTCCTTTACAGTACCTATTATTCCGAAGCTCGTGAGCTTCTGCATAAGATCTACATGTGAAACCTTGTCAAATGCTTTGCTAAAATCTATGAATATCACATCGACAGACAGACCGTTATCTAAGGCTGCTGTCCAATCCTCCCTCGCAATAAGCAAGTTAGTCAAGCATGAACGCTTGTTACGAAATCCGTGTTGCTCAGGAGCTAACAGATTGTGTAAATCTATGTGGCTTAAAAACCTAACCCGAATCATCTTTTCAAGTAAGACAGGTCAGATGGACCTTGTATCATCTTAATACCTCGTCGTTGGACTTTTCACAGCATCTCTGCTTCATACATGAAACAACGATTCTCTGCTTGAATCCCATATTCTAAATCTGGTCTCACGTAAATCGGGTATAATGATCTAAACATTTCATCATCTAAATACTGGAAAGACCTACGAATAGACTATAATACCCTATGGCCTTTCGCAGCAGCAGCCTTACAGTGACTAGTGGTTTTGAGGTCACTGCTTAATATGACTCCTAAGTATTTATAGTTTCTTACTTTGGGTAGCACGAATCCACCTATTATGTAGTGATGCGATTCATCATAGTTATTTATCTGCATCACTACACTCTTATTAGGATTTACTTCTAGTGACCACCTGTCCAACCATGCCACCAATGAGCTAAGATCGTCCCGTAATACTATTCTATCCGACATACTATGTATGGGTCTTCAAATCTTTATGTCATCAGTGAAGAGTAGAACGGATAATTTTGCTACAGTTGGCAATTCGTTTACATAAAGCAAAAAGAGAAGAGGACCTAGGATTGTGCCTTGGGGAACTCCACTTTTTACAGGCACTCACGAGGAGCGAGCCCCATTATGCCCTTCAACATAGGTGTGGTCGAACGGTTGCAACTGGCCAATCATGTTGGATCCATATTCGCTTGATTTCATAATAACGCATTTGACTTCAAGGACGATTTTTTAGCAGATTATCTTGAGTTCGTGCATATGCGTTGATAGTTCGTTAGTCACTTTAATTAGCGGTTGTAAGTACATGGTTAATATGAAAAACGAGCCAATTAGGTAATGTTCCTCAGCTTTCTGCAACAATAAAATTCATAAATCGAGGCTCACACACTACTGCTGTGTTTTTAAAAGGTTAGATTTAGATGTTTAAGTTTCAACAAGGGGAATGAGCATGCGAAACCCTCTTGATTACGGACCTACGGTTATGGCTTATTAACCTTGATTCATAAATCCAACTCAGTGTCGTGGTATGTTCCACTACCATTTCCAGATTTGACGATGATTTGCGACACTTTTACAGGGGTATATGGATCTTCTACACTGAAAAACTAATGAAACAAAGTATTTAAACACACTGCTGTGTTAAGTGACTTCTCAAAACCAGTAGTTTTGTAGGTTTACAACACCGATTGTGTAGGGCCAGTAAAATGTCAAATGTCAAACCATCCGTCAGTCAAGTCAATAAATATTGAACAGCTCATTGATATATGTCGGGATCAACAGCAACCAACGCGCATCAGTTAATTACACGCCATGTACTGTCACATGTAGTGGTGGTCGCATTGTTTTTCCTGTACCTGCTCCTACTACTATATTTCCGTAATAACGTCGTTTGTGTGTTAGAGTCATCAGTGTAGCCATAGCAGCTGGACATGACGAAAGGATAGTTCGTGCTAAGTACTAACCGTCAGGTATAACTTCGACGTTAGCTGACTGGTCACTGAGTAGAGTTGACCTCAAACAACTAAGTATATGTCAAAACAATAGAGTTCAAATATTCATTCACTTCCTGATTTTGTATAGGCATTATATTTCCTGTTATCTTATATTGAATGTTGAGAGGTTTAGTTTGTTTGAACATGTAATCCCACGCTCCAATGTGACTGCGCGAAGATCTAAATAAAGACCTACTCACTGATAGTCTAGTTTCTTCTATCAGTAGCACGAGGGTTACCTATAAACACGCAACTGGTGAGCCTGACGTACCTATAGTCACGAGAAATTGAAACTTTGTGTAGTCGAGCAATTAGCTGTGAGGAACTTAGACGAATTGGTAACAGCAAACTCAAGGGAATGACCACATTTGAAGGGTTTGCTAATATCTATCTTAAATAACGAAGCTTAACTTTTAATTAGTTACGAATTGCCGTCAGCATGTTTGATGCTAGGTCAGCTGTTAGGTGGTGGAAAACAAACATACACTGTTAAGAGGTCGTTTCGGTGGGTGGCGTTGAAGCCAACAGAATCTCTTAAACGTTATGTTTGCAAAGCGAACTGTATAGTTCAGATTTAAATGGCTAGTGATCGACTTCAATGTGTGTATGATCGTGAATTGGCCAATGCGTATTTGAACGACATACTGGTATTGGCTGAGGACGAGAGGCTTATGGTGATGTTATAAAAGGGAATTTATTTCTCAAATAGGCGCTTTGTGGTCCAGCTCCCTAAGGTTAATGTTATATACAGGGGCATTGGGAACTACTGAATAGCTAGAAACCGATTGGAGGGTTTTAGGCATAGGTTAGCTCAGCACAGTTGTTTACAAGCGAGATAAACTATAGATGTTGGGGACTTTATTGGCAAACCAAATACTGAAGCAGATTATGAGGCACAAAGCCGATCATGGTATCTTCCACAGTTGTACTTATTGCAGAAAACAACCTCAGAATCAATAAACATTCTACTTGGCCTACTCAGGGTACTCGTTGCCATTGTAGCAAGTGCAGAGAAAGCGGTTATCCATTTAAAGCTGTCAGAATCCAATTAGCGAGTTCTAGAATTTTTATGATGGCAAGATAGATTTCTCCCAAGAGGTTTTGTTGTCCCAAACAACTTTTCATCCGTCTGAAGAGGTGCCATCACTTTGTCTAATGTTTTCATTAGCACGGTGGCTGAGCAGTTTGTTAATGAATACGACGAGCTTAAAATGACCCAGTATCTAAACTCAAATGTATTTGACGACAAATATTCGTAATTTGAGTGTAGTTGAACGACAAACTATCATTCTTTGGATGTACTATTCACCGAAACTGACACAGGAAAACTGGACACTGAAGTTTATGAGAAGTCAGTTTAGACACATTAGATTCCCAATTTCAGTAGCATCATAAGTAAAGGAACTCACAAAATCGACTGCTTACGAACTTGTACATAAGTGCGAAAATACACTGGAGCGCAATGGAGGTTCGGAATAATGAGGAAAATTATCTAATGACTATAATACAAAAGAACGGCTAACCAAGTAACTTCACCAAAAATAACCGACTGAACTCATTCGCAGAAACGAAATCAAGCAGCTCAGTTTAAGCAAATCAAAACACGATGACGAACGACACTTCATATGTTGTAACGTAGAAAACCATACAAAATGGCGTAAAACCCGTTATTAAATAAGTAAATATGTGTCAAGTAAACAGATTATATGTGAACAACATTTGCTCTAGCAGTTATAGACATCAACTACGATAAATATTGGTAAAACACACACACAGAACATTAGGGACTAGAATTGTGAATCAATCACTTATAATGTCGCTATCAATAAAGAAAAATTGTTCTATTCAAATAAAAGTGGCAGATTAATCCAAATTTCTTCAGAAGTGAGCAATGAACCACCGAATAAGAACTAAACAATAAATCCAAGGATCATACGATTAGATACCTGTTGTTTAAAAAATATTCCCAACATATGTGGAAGGCTGTTCTTTTTTTACTTATATGGAAGAAAATTTACCAATCTACATGGCATTTATCAAAGAATAATGATCCAACGTGGCAGCTGTAAAAGAAAATATTAACTAAAGTAGAACTGAAATGTGCATTTGTTGAAGTGCTACATTGTGATTTGATTCAATATGTGGCAGTCGAAATTGATGACGGAAGTTTCTTCGGATATGAGGAATACTGGCAATAACTACATGTATATTTATGTGAATGAACAGGTGCAAGGTCGTTTGGAGACGGATTTCAAAGACATAGATGGGTGAGATAATAATTAAATGAAGTTGAAAAACTGGTAAGATGGATTGTGTGACAATTATACAAGTTGTAGGGAGTTTACATAAGTCTCAGATAGCTTGGAAACAGATAAAGATTGCAAGCCATGACGTGGTAGATGTCTGTAATTTGAAATTGTGGAACTATGTAATAATTATTCAAGTTTTGAAGTTTGCTCAATTTGGGGGAATCAAGTGAATCGAAATACTGGTAAATGGAGAGATGGTTTTGGCGTGCACGAAATAAGGACAAGTTTGTCAAAGATCGTAAAACAAAATAAAAAGAAGTAAAATAATAATGGCCATGAAAATAATCCTGAAGACGTCAAATAGTTGACCATAATTCATAAGTTGTTAACAATGTACTAATAATAATTGCGAACAAATAATGTACTTGAATACGTATACCAATAAAAGTAACGGTGAACGCAAGAAGGGAATTAAAGAAACCCTAACGCAGAGAATGTTTCCATAGAGTAATTCCCACGCCGCCGTAAACGCAAACAGCAATCTTATGACCACCGTCCTCCAGTGAATAGCTGGGTTGTGAAGTTCTACAGTGTGGAGAAGATTTGTAGCTCAGGTGGATGATTTTGGTGTAGTTTTGTTCTCTGAACTGGATGGTTTGGTCGTGGAGCTTTCATCGTTCTTCTGAACGACATCATCAGCACAAACTTCAGATAGAAGTGAAATGTTCGAATTTCTCCATATGTGTTTCACAGCTTGTTCTGTGCACCTCGATGTTGATTGGTTCTTATTGACCTTAAATTTATCAGTTTACTTCTTTGTTTTGGTTGTGCCTCCCATTGGTTTGATTTTTGTCCCTATATTTATGCATGATTTTCCTGATTGGTTGATAAATTGGATTGATTTCAATATGTTTGTTCATTGCTGATTGACCTGAGCGCCGGGCTTTTAAAAATTCTCTGGTGTTTTTGGAGTTTCCTCTGTCTAAGATTTCTACATTTTCGCAATCGAATGAATAACTACGGACACCTGAGCTACAAATCTTCTCCACACTGTAGAACTTCACAACCCAGCTATTCACTGGAGGACGGTGGTCATAAGATTGCTGTTTGCGTTTACGGCGGCGTGGGAATTACTCTATGGAAACATTCTCTGCGTTAGGGTTTCTTTAATTCCCTTCTTGCGTTCACCGTTACTTTTATTGGTATACGTATTCAAGTACATTATTTGTTCGCAATTATTATTAGTACATTGTTAACAACTTATGAATTATGGTCAACTATTTGACGTCTTCAGGATTATTTTCATGGCCATTATTATTTTACTTCTTTTTATTTTGTTTTACGATCTTTGACAAACTTGTCCTTATTTCGTGCACGCCAAAACCATCTCTCCATTTACCAGTATTTCGATTCACTTGATTCCCCCAAATTGAGCAAACTTCAAAACTTGAATAATTATTACATAGTTCCACAATTTCAAATTACAGACATCTACCACGTCATGGCTTGCAATCTTTATCTGTTTCCAAGCTATCTGAGACTTATGTAAGCAAGCACTAACATTACGAACATTGACGTGTGACGGGAGAAAATGTTGTAATTGCTGATAAATAATGACATTCAATATCCTCGGGAAAATATAACATGTGCGCGACAATCCATGGCTTAACTTGATGAGCCTGTGGTGTATCGTCAGTTCGGGGTTGACTATGATCACCACTACAGGAAGACTACGTGCCAGTTACCCGATAACATCCCTAGTAGGCCAAATATCAGAAGGCAGTTGATGGCTGTAGTCGAGATGTATTTGTTGGCGATCTCGTGTTATCGAAAGAATACCGAGACCGTGCCAGGTTACAAGCGTGGTTACTGAGCGTAACCGAATTCGTACAAGGTTACAATCAACGGAAGAATGTATGTGTTTTGGTACAGCTAAACAAACAAGTGCGGTAAAACAATCCCTGGTAAAATTGGTTATAATAATAATTCTTTCCATCACACCGATCGCGTTCTCTTGATAAAGGTAGGTCACCACAAGCGTCCCGAATGATCTTATTAGGATAATTAAATTGGCTCCTATTGGTTTACGTCCAGTAAAACTAATATAATCAATATCAATTCTAATGGTTTATAAGTCCTTTAATTTTGGGTTTTTATTATCCCTTACCATTTTATTTAGTTTAGTTCTTCCATATGCCTGAAGAAATTGACCAAGAGATATTTTTATTTGCAGTTTTTGTTCCATATAGTTTAGCCATAAGTGGATGAGGAGCAATCGGTTCACTTATTCATATGGAGGGATTCTAGAGAACTACATCTTGAAATGAGATCTAATGCAAAGGTTTCCCTATTAGACTTAAAATCAAGCCACTTTTTTATTTTCAGTATTAACTGTAAAAACTTCACGTAGTATCTACGACCTTCAGGATGATCACAACTTGATAAAGACCGCCGAATGACCTGTAGCGTGGCGTCGAGTCGAGGTTGACTATGAACACCGCTACCAAGAAACACGTGCCAAATAAATCAGAAGGCGTAGGTTGCACGTAACCAAATAAACCCATGAAATCCCCGAGAAGCCAAATATCAGAAGGCAATTAATGGACCAAGTCGATGTTTATTTGCTGGCGATTTCGTGGCATCGAAAGGATACCGAGATCGTGCCAGGATACAAGCTTGGTTACAGAACGTAATCGAATTCGCGCGAAGTTACAATCAAAAGTGTAAGTATAAGAATGGAAGCACAAAATAGCTGTCATTAGCACAGTCAAACAAAAGCACGTTAAAACAAACACTGGTACAGTTGGTTATAATAATAATTGTTTTTATTAAACCAGTCGTGTTCTCGTGATAAATGTGAGTCACTACAGGAGCCCCCCGCTAGAAAGGGTTTACACTTTCGATAAATAGCGGTTTAAATCGTGGGACTGATCGGCTGACGAGCGATTGTAGGACAGAAGAATTGGCGAACAGGAAAGCGATCGTTGATCGTCGAGTTGCCAACGAAGGTCGTTTTCGGAGAACGGTACCAGGAGCGATGTGCTGTATTTGTTGCTTGAGTTGGCATGCTACCAGAGTGATTTGTATCCAGAATCTGAAGATGGCGTTCGTAGGGGTCCGGACCAGAAACGCTGCAGACGTAGGACGAAACCACGTTGAGCCAAAAGACCAGAAGCGACCGTAACGACCAAGTTCGAGACCAAGCGTATGCCAAGCATTCGAAACCAATATATCGACTGAGTGCGTTGACAAGAGCATGGGTGATCAGGTCAGCTTTCGCCAAAGTTGACTGAAGTCGATGGAACCAAACGGAGATGGTCGAAGGCGTAGGCTCAGGAAACAAAAAGAAAATCAAAAAAGAGAAGAGTGTAGCATGCGTGTAGTATAGGAATAGTCCTACACCGTATCGGTTGTTGACTGTGCGACTATTCGCGGAAGCGTACGGGCAACCGTACTCGGCGACCGGAACGTGAGACGGCTGTCTCGTTCGTATCTCGTGAGCCTGCAATCTCATCCGAAGTCAAGGGCGGCGTGGTCTGCTGAGCTGGAAGTGAGACTATCGTCTCGTCCGTAGACGGTGCAGATGACGCGTGCTGTTGACTGGGACGTGAGAATGAGGTCTCAGGTGTATCTAGCGTGGGACCTGAAGATGGTTTGAGGATCCCGCTAGTAGGTTTGATAGGTCTAGCATTGAATCTCAGGGTGTCAGATAGGGCACTGTCATCGACGTGTGCTGGTTTGAGACGATCAATGCTGACGATCTCGACGCGTCCATATCGATCAACCTTGAAGGTCTTTTCATGACGAGCGATCACTTGAAAAGGGCCTTCGTAAGGTTGTTGCCAAGGTTTGCGTACCGAATCTACTCGTACAAAAACATGTGAACAGGTAGATAACTCTCGAGAGAGAGCGACCTGTCGATGTTGCATTCGAGTTGACACCGGAGACAGCGTTCGCATAAATGTAGACAGTCGATGGACGTAGTCTGGTTTACAGAAATCAGGTCTGCTCCGTAGTGTGAAGAATTCTCCGGGCAGACGCAATGTCGTGCCGTATACCAGTTCAGCGGCGGAACATTGTATATCTGCCTTCAAGCTCGTTCGAATACCTAAGAGGACGAGCGATAAGGTTTCGTACCAGTTGTCGTTCTCGTGTGCTCATAGAGCACTTTTAAGTTGGTAGTGAAACCGTTCAACTTAACCATTTGATGCTGGGAGGTAGACGTTAATGCGTATGCGAATGCATTCCGTACCAAGCAGCCGGGTCAGCGAGGAGAATAGTTCATAGGGGAAAATTTCTCGAATAAAGCGTGGAATTCATCATCACGCGAATAATAAGTGACAAGGATTCGGTACACACACATGTGAGTCTATTATATTAATACTATTCTTATCGTTATCCGTCATGTCGAGTATATTATATATTAAAAAATATGAAAATATACGACAGACGTGGATAGATAAATCATAGACTCACCGAATTGGCTTCTTTGGAAGATTTGATTAGAAGTTGAGGCGTGTTCCGAAATACGGGTCACCAATTGTAGCGTGGTGTCGAGTCGAGGTTGACTATGAACACCGCTACCAAGAAACACGTGCCAAATAAATCAGAAGGCGTAGGTTGCACGTAACCAAATAAACCCATGAAATCCCCGAGAAGCCAAATATCAGAAGGCAATTAATGGACCAAGTCGATGTTTATTTGCTGGCGATTTCGTGGCATCGAAAGGATACCGAGATCGTGCCAGGATACAAGCTTGGTTACAGAACGTAATCGAATTCGCGCGAAGTTACAATCAAAAGTGTAAGTATAAGAATGGAAGCACAAAATAGCTGTCATTAGCACAGTCAAACAAAAGCACGTTAAAACAAACACTGGTACAGTTGGTTATAATAATAATTGTTTTTATTAAACCAGTCGTGTTCTCGTGATAAATGTGAGTCACTACAGACCCATCACACGTCTCTTGTATGTCATGCCGTCTTTTATCCTTAAGCTATTCAGATTTTCTGAACTTACTGTGTATGCTTTTGTGTAGAAAATTGAATACATGTCTTTAACTTCTCCATTTTCACTATGTACAGAAATTTATAGTGACATGTATATTCAACAACTTTGTGAAGGAAAAGATAAAGACCACATTTTTATTTGACGGCGATAGAGTTTATTCGATTTACAACAGTGAATATTAACCAGTCAATAAATTACGTCCATTTTACAAGCGATTTTGATAAACAATAGATATTGAATGTAAATGTGGTTACGCACAAAGCGTCACCAATAAATAAAGAAAAATATGGCATTTGTTCTGATCGTTACTTGATTATTGAATATATATCACTATAGTATACTAAGATATGTCGATAACGGTGGAACTATATGGTATTCGAATTATCGTATGAACTAGAAATTCCAGGATTAACGCAATTGAATTAAGAAGACACAGGCACAAACGAATGTATTGTATTTAGAATTCGAAATCGAGCATTCAACCAGTACAAAGGTATCATTAGTCCATTCAAACACCACAAACTATCATCTTGTTTCTCTAGAGTTCACGGTAAACCTGCAAATTAACAGCACGCAGTGAGATTTTAAAATATCTATGCGCTTATCGTAAACATTTTGTTAACTGCGTTCCTCTTGTCAGATGATGATCAAAATTACGTTGCTGATTATGAAGATCATTAATAGCTTAATTCTTCAGCTTGCACAAGGCACGAGCCGATTGCATGGAAGGTAACAACGAGCACTGAAATATCGTTTGTTATCTTCAAACCTAAGATATATAGGTTGCTAGTTTTACATTTACCTTCCCATCAAATGGAGAATATTATGCTCAATTATCCGAATTAATAACAATTATGATCAGGAATAAGAAACGCAAGAGGATGTATCATAGATGAAAACACTAAATGATGGAGTAAAATGTTCAGTAATAAAACATTTCGTATTCAAAATAGTTTGCTGCACCATTATATGCCTTTCGTTGCCGAGGTTTAGTTTAGGTTACTCTCTGTCAGTAAGCCTTAAAATTGAAATATTTCCTTTTCTTGCTAAGTCATTTTAAAGTTTATTCAAAGCAGAGACGATTTTACGGTAAACTTTGTGTAATCTACATAGTCCAGAAAATTTTATAACATCGACTAAGTTATAGAAGAATAAATTCTCAGGAAGATCCCCTTGATGTCTTAATTATATGGTTTGATTTACACATATTCAGCAGGAAAGTTTTATCGTATGCCTATCGAAACAGTATACAGTAATGAAATTCCCCAAGATTATTCATCGAAATTCACAGCTCAGGTGTGGTTCATAATATGAACCAATATAAATGAGATTATTTTATTTATTTATTAACAGATTGTTAAAGGTTCAGCTACATTTCCTCCAGAAGCCGGATACATAAAACTTATAGGTTTTTCCAGATCCTTCTTATACTTTTATTACATTTACCCATATAATTACCTTGATTGCTTTTTGCGTGTGGAGGAGAATCCTGCTGAAATTCATTAGTAATTCGATTTCTTTTGTGAATAGTTTTGAACATAAAAATCTGGAAAATGTTTATACAGCTTAGTTGAGTACGATAATCTAATTCAGCGGTTTAAGATAAGATTGGGAACTGTTTCTGAAAAATGATGACTATCCTTATGAAATATTTTGTAAACCACTACAAATTTGAATGACATACTCCTCCATAGTAAATGTTTGTTGCTTCAAAAGAAATCTTATAGAAAAGGTTGCCTCAGCAAGTATTTCACGTGCAAAATTAAATATTTGATGTTGTTGTCAATGAACTAATTGTTTTCACGGAAAACTATTTGATTACTATCATTCGATGTGAATAGAGAAACAAAGAAGCTATGAAAAACAACGGTAGTCATTTTTAGGAATGTTATTTCACTCCATCCAAAATTCGCAAAACACTAACATTTAGTTTTGTTCCTAATTTATTTTACAAAAAAATAAGCTTTCGTTTGACATATGTTTTACTGCCATATCCTTTTCTGTTCCAAAGTTATTATAATTTAAACGGAACCTTTTGTACTTTATTTTTCTACCCTAATACCCAATTTGAATATAGTTGTATTTTTCTAATTGTTTGTACGTTGTGATCATGTTAATCATCTATTTATTAACATGTCTTTTTACATTAATCTGAACTGGTAATCGAGAAGAAATCGAGTACTGTTCTAATTGACTCGTCTTCTCACTCGCTCTCTGACCTGTCAACCAACAGCCCAAGGATGCTAACCTCAATTTGGACTCGTGCATTTCTAGCATCAAGTTACAACAGTAAGCCTATCGTGTCAAGTACTTGTCCTAGATCGACACAAGTTCTCTCCTGTATATTATCAAGTAGACAGATTAAGGACGTAGCATCATTTCATCAAGATATGTGCAATGGTGAATTAGAAACTGTAAGTTTGATAACCATATGAATCTTATGCTCAAGGAGAAGAATTAAAGATAAGATTTTATACCAATTATTTATTTGTGAAATTATCAGCAATTTGGCTATTTAACTTAATTCACCGACGTTTTTTTCTTTTAAAAAATGTCGATTTTTTAAACATCTAAATTTACACTGTCAGTCATTCGAATACCAATACACATAAATAGGTTAAATGTTCAAAATAAAGAAACAAGTGTAGCAAGTGTTTTGGCTCAGCTGACGATGAATATTTTGAATAGAGTGAAGATCAGAACAGCTTCAACAAAGTTCAGCCCACAAGTCCATAAAGACCAAACATACGTTGTGGATTTTACTGTTAAACACAACTGAAATTTATCAGAAACATGTAGAATAATCCAAAGCCAATAATCACTCATTCTAATTTATCACACAGAATTTCGGATTCACATAACATATTCAATAGTCACTTCTTTTCGTATACGACGTTTATGTATTACGTTGATAAGCTAACTTCGATTTATAACTTTAGTACATAGTCTTCATTCACTTTCGGATCTTAATTCCATGTGTTCTGGGTTAACGATCACAAACAAACAAGAGAAAGGATATTGCTTGGATTGTGTTACTAATCTTAACATGAGATTTAACGAATGGAAGTAATTTAAACAACTCCACAAAAACATATAAAAAGAAACAAAAAAGATTTAAATGTTGCATTATATTCGACTATCTGTTTTGGCGGTTTGTACTACAAATTGCCAAATGTTGAATACTTTCTGGATCATGTCAGTATTCAAATCACTTTAGAGTTTGTGAGGTAAAATAAAATAAGCTTGAAATAGTGTGAATTATCAAGAGGATTATAGTCAGTTATTAAGCAACTAGGTGCGTTTTATTACAAAATTTCCAAAGTATTCCCGTTCATATATATATATATATATATATATATATATATATATATATATATATATATATATATATATATATATATATATATATATATATATATATATATATATATATATATATATATATATTGAAAGCCATAGTTTGTAAACGTGTTTCTATCCAGCCAAAAGTTCTTAAAAGTAGGTATCAAAAAACAGTTGCTTCTCAGTTTTTTTTTCTTGTTGGAAAATATTTATTATTTCCCGACTTCATTTCAACGTTATTTTAAATACGCCAAGTATTCAACAAAGTATCATGTACTGTAAGCAAACTAAAAAAATGTGTATTTACATCTTGTGTTTATCATTGCAAACAGAAGTAAAAATAAAACTCACTCTCCTGATTAGAATGTATCAAGATAGTTTATTTACTTCAAGTATATTCTACTTTATCAGCAGTAATTCATTCAATCATATCTCTTGCATCAACAAGTATCGATAGCTAGCTTACATGTATTTTAAACACAAATCAATATTCTTAATAACTTCTTGATTGATTGGTTAAAATCATGATTATGTTTTACTGAAGAAAAGCGTCATGTGGATTGAGTTATAAAATAGTTTGCACGCTTGCGGTTATACTGTGATATTCTCGATTTTAAATGAAGCAATTCACATTAACATTTGATTAAAGATTGATTGTATGAAAGTGAGTTTACTGCTACTAATTAAATTATTCCATTTGTTTACTCATTTTAAATGTTATAATTTCAGCTGGTGAATAGACAGATAATTGATATGATAGGGTTTGGTGTATTAAATATTCATGGTAAAACTTAATTACAAGTATATGCATAGATACAATGCCTACTAGTCGGATACCGCCATGATTCGCTTAGATTAGATGATTCAATCGATAAATGTACAAGTTAATGATAGTTTGAAATGTGAGTGATTGGAACAGAGTAAGTAAGAGTGAAATGTTATATGCTGTATTAATTACGATGAATTATTAATATGAGAATCGCGATGATGTGGAGAAAAGACAGTTGCTTAATGATTATCGATGATATTTGTCTGATATTGCAGTCGTGTTATATGGAATGGCTTGATGTAATGCTGGTTTTTATCTAAAATGATAGTTTATTTGAAACAAATGACTAAAATGTGTGTTTGAAGATGGTGGAAATTGTATCAGTACTGGGACCATGACATCATCATCATAGACTATCCCTATTCTCGAAAATGGTGAGTTGTTGTTATCTGTGTAGTTTCCTACTCAGTGAAAATGGCACATGATGAATATCAGGGTGAATATTTGTAAAGTGCTTGCGAACTTTACACACGTATGACTTTCAGCAATCAGTTTTTCATAACCAATAATGATAAATAATCTTGAATCAGTTGTACATGCTCAAATGACACAGTTAAAAAATGTATATTTTAGTTGATGGAAAATCTGTTCATTTTAACAGCGAATTGAGCAAATAAAATGTATGCCAATAAGTTGTACCAACACAGTTGACATTACCTTACAAATATAATTTAGTTCATTGTAATTCGTAATGTTTTCTGTTTTAGGAAAATCGAACCAGGAAGTAAGTCTTCATCCGATCCTACTTTGGTAAATGTACTAGTTCTGTTGAAAATTATGTGAAAAACAAATCCTGAAATCTGAGATTTTAGCTCAGCAAATGTCATATAGGGAATGGTAGCTCACTTAAATTTGACGTAAGTAATGTTTGGTCACTACGCATGTGTA